CACACACTAGGCCGTGTAGGTAGGGGTGTTCGTGATCTGGATTGGATTGATTTTGGAAGCAAAATTCATTCGATCCAATCTCTTCGGTTTGATCATGTAATCATTCATTCGGTTTCCGATCCTATCCAATCCAATTTTTTTCGGTTTGAATGGGATCGATTTTCGGTTTTTTGGAATTTTTAAAATTTGTTTTATGATTATTGTGCAAATAACATCTTTTGTATATATTGGCTTTGTAAATTTTTATATTTTTTAAATACAAAAGCATTAGCAAACGATAATATAGTTTTTTTGGGCAATGAGATATGAAGCTCTACACAGATAAAATTTTGTTGATGAGATGTGACTAGGTTTTTTCTTGGATTTAGTTGATGGATCTTAGGTTTATAAATTTTTTAGCTATGATTGGGGAAAGACCCAAGTAGGTCGAGAAAAATTAATATATTGGATCGGTTTGGATTAGATCTGTTTTCGTCAACCAATTAAAATTTACGGATTTTTTTGATTTTTGATTTTTCAATTTTCGATTTATTCAATTATCGATTTTTCGGTTTGGTCATCGCAATTTGAATCGGTTTGAACGATTGATGAACACTTCTACGTGTGTAGGTGTGCTCTTTTAGTCTTTTACCAGATTAAGTCGAATTTGACTTTGTTTAAATTTGATATTTTTATCTCTACAACTTTTTCACTTCAATTTGATCACGACTTTTGTGCCAAGCTTGAGTTATTGGGTTTGATTAGGTGTTAGAACACTCTAAATATATGCATAATTCAAAAATAATGTAACTTTCTTAAATTTTACAAAAGTCCAAGGAATTTTCGGGTACAAAATAAACTTATTATTTATCAAGGGACTAAACTTTCTCAATAGAATATAGATACTAAAATACTTACGTTGTTTTTTTTTTAAATTGCAGAAATTCTAATATTAAAATTGGAAATCAATTCAACGTATAAAAATTTAAACTCTCAAAAGACTATTTATTTATTTATTTATAGAAGTATCATCAACTAAAATGGAGATTTGCATGCACATGAAGTTAGGGATATAAAAAAAATCATATGAACCAAACTAAATCATAAACCATATTTTTACTATTTTACAAAGATTTTAATGTTTCTACCGTGAATTTAGATAATTTATTTACATTCACTCCCAAAACGACGCCGTTTTGGGTTAAAAAATTATAATAATAAGATTATTATAATCCTGAAACAAATTATAATTATAAAAATACATTGATTTATCTACATTAACAGTAAAAAAAGCGATCCCATATTATAAAAAAAAAAAAAAAAGAGATCCCAAAATAACTGAATTGTTTAAACTGTTAACTCACACTAGTTTTTTTTTTAAAAAAATAGGTTCCGTATATATAACTGATCTCATTTTCAATTTAATTCGGTGAACTACTAATAACCGAGCTGCTCTTCTCTTTTTATGAACCCAAAATTATCAAATGAGTTGGGTGAATTCCTGTTTTTCCTAACTTGTTTTCTATAGCATCCTCGTGGAGGATAAGTCACAAGTGTTACATTGTTCTTTTATTGTTTAATTCTCATGTTCTAGGATAAAAGTATATCAACTGATATTTTTTCTTTCTCTTTTTTTTTTTTCATATGGATCCATACTTTTATCTCTTTTAATATTATAAATATTAAAAAAAATTATAAACTACAGACTTTCTACATGGAAGAAAATTATATTCGAGGTAAGAATATCCATGGTGAGGCTAATTCCCGTAAAGAATTTTTTTTATATTTATAAAAACTTAAACCTAAAATCTTATTTAAGTAAAATTAAGCATATACTACTTTAACTAATCCTGATATTTCTCTACTTTTTTAATTCCTGTATAGTTAACGAAAAATAGAAGAAGAAACTATAGTCGTACTAGAACATATTTTCTTTTCTGGGCTAGCTTGGTCAAAATGTGCTATAATGGACTTTGACCAATCAATGGACATCAAATCACACTGACGAAAAGGCTTCTAGAAAGAAAAAATAAATAAAAATGGCTAGTAACTTTGAATAGGAGGATCCCTATGACAGTTCTTGTTAGATTTATTGAAGACGAAAATAATTATTTAATATAATAGATAACTCATTACGGAAAAATCTTTTGTTTTTGTCAGTTGGTTGGGTCTATTGCCTTTTCCTTAAGTAATTGGAGTTGCTTTACAGGTACAACATAATTATGTGGCATATAATGTGTACACACTAGACATCATACGACGTGTAAAGTAATTTTCAAGTGATATCAACTCTGAATGTGCTTAACTGAGTAAATTTTTTTTTTATTATTATTATTATTATGAAGAAGTTTTTCCTATTTTAAAGTTAGAATAAATCATTAATTGTAATGAAAATTTACATTGAGATTTATTATCTTTATTTTTTTAAACTCTAATCAACAAAGTCATGCAAGTAAATCAACTGCCTTGACATATAATATTACGTATGTTTGCCCGTGATATAGATAATAGATGGCCCGTAAGAGACAATGCACACATAAATATAAAATAATAGTATATGGGTTGATTTGTTTGGGCACCGTTGGCTTTGGATTTTCTTAAGGTCTTAACATGATACGTATTGAAATAAAAATTACATAATCAATGTTTGCTTCTGATTGACACGGTCTAATCAAGGACAGAAAAAAAAAATACCAAGTCAATTTCCTTAAATATAATCGGAGTTCTTGTTCTCTTATTAAAAAAATTAAATCCTCTTGCATTTTAAAGAATAAAGTACTATATATAAATGTTGATGAGAAAATTAATAAATTATATTTGTACATATTTGTAATGTGATATATTAGTATTTATATTTGAAATTTCAAGCCGTTAATTTTTATATCAACTGTTACTAACAGTGTATGTTTTGTAAATGTTGCATTAGTAGATATTGATTTTGGATTTTTTTATCTTGCTTACGTCATTGTTCCCCTTTCCCTCCAAGAGGCATATATGATATAAAGTTCCAAGAGTGAAGAGTATATTGATTGAATTTTGTTAATATTCTACCATCACTGCTTTAGCGGAGTTGAATTTCTTTGTAATGTAGAACTATTGAAGTCTTTCTCGTGAAGAAAATATGAGAAGCAATAGAGATATAATGCATAAAATATAAACATTATCCACATAAAAACAAATTGTAATTAAAAAATATTAATATTTAATAAGTTAAAATAAATTATTATCATATCTTATCTGTATTTAACTACAAGTATTTAAATATAGGGAAAGGTTATAATTACTACCTCTTTTTCTTACTACTTGTTACTACTAAATCATAACCGTTGATTTTCGTCAATCCAACGGTTATAATTTATTGAAAATTAATAATTAATTAATAAATATGATTCAATAAATTATAATAATTGGATTGACGAAAATCAACAGTTACGATTTAGTAGTAACAGGTAGTAAGAAAAAGATGTAGTAACTATAACATCTCCCTTAAATATATTATAAAAATATCCGAAACAGCATATTTAACTACATCCGTTTCCTACAGCCTATCTTATTTTTAAGAGAAATGTTTCTTTCAAATATTGTTTGTACTTTATTTGTTATTTAGGAAAAAAGAAAAAAAAAAAATTTAGTGTTTAGTGTAATAAAAATAATGTGTAAATTTTGCTAAAAAAAGTTAGTGTACAAATTACATTATTATAATTTTTTCTGCAAATTCAAAATTTTAAACATAACCAACCGTTAAAGTAATTACACATAACTAAAAGATAACTAATCACAACAAAGTAGTTTTTTTTTTTGTTTTTTTTTTATTTTTTTTTATTTTAAGGTGCCTGTTAAGAATCAGTAGAGAACATTCTTGAGTATATAACTTAGTCAAACTCGTGGCACCATTATTCTAAGGTTCCGTGAAGATATTATTGTCGTAGTTTTCTATTAAATTGAAAATTGTTATGTGACACAAGACCGTTGATAACTTTAGTTAGTCGTAGTTTATGGATGTGTCAAATTACTCAATTTACAGGAATCTTGGGCTCTTGGCCTATACTAAACTTACTTGCATTTGACCAGGCCCTCAAATACCATTCAAACACTTAAAATGAGATGAGAGGGGCAAGTTGCTACCAATATCTCATAAATATATATTTTTTAATATTTTGTTATTTAACTCTTAGGGAAACTAATATTAATCAAAGTTTCATTTCACTTTATGTTTTTTTATTTTCATGGTAACTATAACCATATCCCAACATTAACTTAAAAGAAAGGTTGCATAGCTATTATTTTTTTCAATTTTTTCCTGCTTGTACTAACAAAAGAGAGAGAGTATTAATTTGATCCTCTTCAGTATTGACTTTGGGAGGAGTTTAAAGCCTTAATTTTGAATCTGTCCCGAATCGGACTAGTCGTGAAACGATGAACCGAGTGAAATATTTCTAAAAAATAAAAAATGAGTATTAATTTATTCTCTTTATGGTTGGACAAGACAACGATTTAATATTCTCAATGCATCAACTAATGTAGATTCCCACTTTGGTGCTTCCCATTAACATGACTGGTGTATGAATCAAGACGAGAAAATTTTAGGGAAATAAATATATATATATATATATTTTAATTCACCATAATGCATGTTCCAGAAAAAGCGGAGACGTTACCCTCTACAGTAAAGAATTGGGAATCTTACGAATTTATAAATATTAGAAAAAAGACTATCATTTAAAAGGACACAATTTTTTTGTGAGTTCAACTTGTACACATCAAATCCATAAATATTATGTGAATGATTTACAAAATATTTTAATTTTCTTTTATTGGCATCATTCGTTTTACAACTAATCTTGCAATAAAATTAAGAGTTACGACACTTCTGCCACCATTGGAATATTTCTCTTGCCGGTCTCTCTCTCTCTCTCTCTCATTAAACATTTATCATTTGTAGATTACATTACTAATATACTATATATAACCCTTTCTAGTTTCTTCATACCAGAAACTGTGTTACAGTTCAGTGGTGTACTGTGTATCATTTTCAAACCTCTCTCATGAGTGGAAAACAGGAAAAAGAGAAGAAAGAAAAGAAGAGGGAAAGATTTGCAGAGAATAGCAATACACAGACTAAAAAAGTGAAAAGGCCTTAGATAACTTCCAAGTTTCCACAACCCAACAACCAACCTTCCATATATTGAACAGATAATTTTTCTTTTGAGGTCCTTGTTCTGTTCTCTTAATCCTAAAAAGTAACCCAGTACATTCAAGTAAGTATTTGCACCTTGCAGCTTCCTGTTCTTTTATTTTTGGTTGATTTCAAATATAGAAAAAAAAAAAAAAAAACTAGTGTTTTCTTTTGTTTACATAGTTGGTTTCAACAGTATTTTTTTTTAAAAGCTAGATTAGAACCATGCTTTCTGCTATTGTTCTGTCTTCCACTGAAACCAAACAAGTTCCTTAGTGTGTTTTTGCTCATCTTTGAAATCCACTGCAGAAAAAGGAGAGAAAAAATGGATGGGAATTTAACCAGAAGCATAAGTAGGAGCTTAAGCAGGTCAAGTTGGAGAATGGAGGGAGTGTTTGCAAGTGGCAGGTATTCTCGAAGGACTTCAACTGTTGATGAGGATGAAGAGGCTCTCAAGTGGGCTGCCATAGAGAAATTGCCCACCTATGACAGGCTTAGAACAAGTATCCTCCAAACTTTTGCGGACGGTGATGATCATGCTCATCCAAACAGATTGGAACACAGGGAAGTCGATGTTCGAAGGTTAGATGTCAATGAAAGGCAACAGATTATTGACAAAATCTTCAAGGTTGCTGAAGAAGATAACGAAAAGTACTTGAGGAAATTCAGAAACAGAATTGAAAAGTAAGTTCCATCTTTCATGTATCATGCATGGTCTTCTGCAACTCTTCTAAGATAGTTCACAAACATGTTTGTTAAGTATCTTGGTTGCCTTATATCATTAAAAATATGTAAAATTCAAGTCTTATCCTCAAAATTTTAAATTTAAGGAACACTCTCCATATAAATGACCTTACTTTCTTCTGCTTATTTCAGACCTGCACGATTTTGATTAGAGTATACATTTTCTTTTTCATGTAACTTATTTATGGTTTCTTTCACGTATCTATAGAAAATAAAAGTGAAGGTTAGCTTATGATACGGATTTGACTTTCCTTTTGGCTAGCAAGCTAAATTGCAACATTTTTTTTTATATTTAAGTGTGCACATGACGGTTGATTTGTCATATTAATTGGGTGTCTTTGTTATTTAATCAAAACAAACATCAAGAAATATGGTTTTAAGGAGATGGCAATCAGTACCGTGTAGAGTAAGGTAACTAATAAAGAAACGGAAGGGAATCAAAATATTCAATAATGCATTATTGAAGAGTTAGGGAATAAAAAAAACGGTGTCCTTGTTCGAGTGAACAATAGCAAGCAAAGGAATTAATAAATAGCTTATTCATATGATTGAAAATTGCTGGCTCCTCTGTGCGCGCGAGGCAGAGGAATTAGAACTAACACGGGGGTCACAACTGAATTAAATATCTTAAGAATTTTAAACAGCTATGTTATCTTCTACCTTTGTAAATCAAGGACCAAATTTGATACTTAACATAGTTGAAACAGTGTAGATAACGAATTTAAAGCTTACTTTATCGGTAATGTTTTGAAGCATTATGCAATTGACTATTCTGCAAACAAATTAATGCTCCTAAGTGATATTTACACATGCTTATAGATACACTCTTCTCCAACATATTGTTTCCACACCCATACTTTTATGTAACAATCATTTTTCCACTTGGTATTCAATTCTTCCAATTGCAGGGTTGGTATCCGACTCCCAACAGTAGAAGTGAGGTTTCAAAGTTTGACTGTTGAGGCTGATTCCTACGTTGGAAGCAGAGCTCTCCCAACCCTACCAAACGTTGCATTGAACATGTTTGAATCAGCCCTCGGCATATGTGGGATTAGTACTACAAAGAGAACAAAGCTCACAATTCTTAAAAATGTCTCCGGCATTATTAAACCTTCAAGGTACCTACCTCTAAGTTGTCATTATTAGTGTGATTGGAACAATCTTAGTAGAATATTGGAACTTGGAAGGCTAGTTGACCTTATTATATAGATTTATTATTATTGTTATTATTATTAAGGTTAGTTAGTATAACCCTACTTGTTGTTCTGTACAGGATGGCTCTTTTGCTAGGTCCCCCTTCTTCAGGGAAAACGACACTTTTGCTGGCATTGGCTGGAAAATTGGACAGCAGCTTGAGGGTAGACTCCAACCCTATCATTTTCTTGATTAAACTATTATTAGAAAGAAAATGAAAAATATCATTCTCTTTGTATCACGTGGAATTGAATAACAGTGGTAATGTATAAAGAGTTATTAAACTATAGGTGTTTGGTTTTGTATGAAACAGGTAAACGGAGAGATCTCTTACAATGGATACAAGCTTAATGAGTTTGTCCCTAGAAAGACTTCAGCCTACATTAGCCAAAATGATGTACATATTGGAGAAATGACCGTAAAAGAGACCTTGGATTTCTCAGCTAGATGCCAAGGAGTTGGGACACGATATGGTAATTTAATCAACAATTTTCAGTAAAACCCTCATCAAATTTTTGTAATGACGGCCAAATAATTTACATATCACATATATTTTTGCATATCCCAACTTTAATTACAAAGTATGAATCTAGTAATGAAATTTAATAACCGTCATAACAATCTATTAACTCAATCAGTTAACATTTTTGCTTTTTGCTTTTCTTTTAAAAAACAATGTTAATGTAGACCTATTAGCCGAGCTTGCTCGAAGGGAAAAGGAAGCTGGTATATTTCCAGAGGCAGAACTTGACCTTTTTATGAAGGTAAGTAACATTCAATAATTATCTCAACTTGTGTTAATCTATGGAATAGTTCTCACCATCTTCAACATTTTTAGGCTACCGCAATGGAAGGAACAGAAAGTAGTCTCATTTCTGACTATACTCTCAAAGTAAGTTGTTTCTTTTCTCAAAATTTCTGTTTACGTTAGAGAGAGAACGAAATGGACACAGATAGTTAAAAGTTCACTTTGACAAATCAGATATCTCCTCAAAAAGTTTCTTTTCCAAAAACTGACCCTCACCCACTCAAAATATTTTTGGTGTATCCATCCATTCAGTACATTTTTTTTATCAAATATAATAAAAATTAACACTTTTATACTAGCTTTGACTTTATTATTATTTTCATTCCTATCCTATATTTTTTCTATTTTTGATAACGGAGTATGTACTTCTTATATACCTAAAATGAGCTTCTCACCCTCTCAGCTGACTGCTTCCATGTTCCAGTGGGCCCAGCATAATGACTGCTTTTATATGTGGATTACAGGTTTTTTTAACGTGCTCCAGATCACGTTAAAATTTGATGGTCTTTTATTATAAAAGAAAATTTTCTTTTCATTTATATATTTTTTTTTAAATCTTCTTTCAATCTTTTTTTTTTCTTTTATTGAAAAAGGAGCTCATGCTCCCGGCTGATAATAAAAGAGCTCGTGAATTCCCTAATACCTATACTAAAGTCATAATTGATGAAGAACACGATTGGATTCGATTAATTTTAAGAGAAAAATAATTTTTTTATAAAAAAAATTCAATACATTTTTTTTTTATTGTAAGTGACTTTAAATATAGAATCCAAATAATTATTGACAATACAGGGCCTAGTGGTTTGATTATGTTATAATAAATGACCTTTTTTATTGCTTGCTGTATGAAACAGATATTGGGTCTTGATATTTGCAAAGATACCATTGTGGGTGATGAGATGCACAGGGGTGTATCTGGTGGCCAAAAGAAGCGTGTAACCACAGGTAAGAACAAACAAAAAAAACCAAAATCTTGTTTTTTTTTTTTCTTAAAATTTTTTGGTTCCACATTATTGAGAACATTTTTTTTATTTCTTTTTCTCGCCTAGTGTTATTAAGTCAAAACTTTAACCCTATATTTGAATGGGTTTAATTTAATAAACTCATACAGAAGTGACAGGTAATGTACGATCACTATATTTTTATTTGGACTAGGTCCTTCTCCTTCCTTCTTTATATACTGAATTTTTAAAACCTTGCTTACACCATACATAATTTTCATTACCTTGACTTATTAGCGAATTTCCAATATAAAAATAATGGTCAGCATCTTCGTTTAGCAAATGTCATTATCCTTTCAGATAAATTAATAAATAAACATATAATAAAATATTAGAATGTCCAATTTAGATTATAACTAGGCAAGGTTCAACTGATATACATACAGTGACATGGGTTTTGATTTTGTAAAGGGGAGATGATTGTTGGGCCCACAAAAACACTGTTCATGGATGAGATATCAACGGGTCTTGATAGCTCAACAACATATCAGATAGTGAAATGCTTCCAGCAGATTGTACATCTCACAGAAGCAACAATCTTCATGTCCCTGCTTCAACCTGCTCCTGAGACGTTCGATCTCTTTGATGATATCATCTTAATATCGGAGGGCCAGATCGTTTATCAGGGCCCACGTGAGCACGTCATCGAATTCTTTGAATCATGTGGGTTTAGATGCCCTGATAGAAAGGGTACCGCAGATTTCTTGCAGGAGGTATTTGGGCCCTAACATTTTGCTCCTGACCAGTTAATGGGCCTTAATTTTTATAGCCCTTATTTTTGGAAACATGACAATGTCATTAAAAAATAATAATTGTTGTAACAAAAAAAAAATTTGTTTACCATAAAATAAAATAATTGTAATAAGAAGGCGATAAAAGATAACTAAAATTGATTTTATAAACAGAATAGATTATGCATGGGATTATCGTTTCTCTGAAATATGAGATAAAGTTATCTTCTGCAATTCAGAAACGACATTATCTTGGGAATTTAAGGGAAAAAAAATACATGGTATTTTAATAAGAAAAAAATATTTGCCCTTTTAAATAACACAACTTGTGTCATTTCACTCTCACAAAGAAGTAGGACCCACATCTTTAGATTTTTTGTCCACTCTCTTTCCTCCTTTATTTATCTATTTCTCTCACTTAAAATGACACAATTTTACATACTTTAAAATGATACACATTTTTTCCTTTTAATAAACATTTTATCTCAAGTTGCACAAGAAATAATTTTTTCCATTATTTATACAGAAAAAATATTTATCATTTTAAAAAACACAACTTTATGTCATTAAACAATTGTGTTTTGGTACATATCTAGTAGCATCTTGTATTCTTTATCCTTCAGAATACGCTCTCTTTCTCTCTTTTCCTTAATTTTGTGGAAGAGAAATAATGTAAAAGATTACAAATATATACCAATTAAAATTATATAAATGAGAAATATTTTTTCCTATTTATATACTATAAACCATAACTATATAGAATAAATAGGCATTAGTTTATTTGTAGTGGTAATTTTCAGACAAATTATTGTAAAAGAGGTTATTTCAATTTGGAAAAAGAACAAGGATGAGAAAGTAAAAGACAGTTGTTAATGTTGTACAGGTTACTTCAAGGAAAGACCAGGAGCAATACTGGGCAAACAGAAGCCAAGGATACCGTTATGTTTCGGTGAACGAGTTTGCAAACAGGTTCAAGCAGTTCCATGTTGGGATGCAGCTTCAGAGTGAGCTCTCAGTGCCATTTGACAAGTCAAGTGGACATAGAGCAGCTCTTGTTTACAAGAAATATACAGTCTCCACAATGGCACTTCTTAAAGCCTGTTGGGACAAGGAATGGCTACTCATCAAGAGGAACTCCTTTGTCTACATATTCAAGACAGTTCAGATTATCATTATTGCTCTCATATCCGCGACTGTGTTCTTTAGGACCAAAATGCATAGAAGAAATGAGGATGACTCAGGTGTTTACATTGGTGCAATTTTGTTTGCCATGATCATGAACATGTTCAATGGCTTTTCTGAGCTGCCACTCACAATTGCAAGACTTCCCGTGTTCTACAAGCACAGAGACCATCTTTTCCATCCTCCTTGGACTTACACACTCCCCAATTTCCTCCTAAGGCTCCCCATTTCAGTGTTTGAGTCTATTGTTTGGGTTGGTATTACATACTACACCATAGGTTTTGCACCTGAAGCCAGCAGGTAATTAACTTCAATTTCCATTTTTCATATTTTGGTTGTGGCATCTAAACTCATTTTTATGTTTTTCATAAAACAAAGCTAACTTTGATTATATTATTGATTCCAAAGATTATAGTACTAAATGAGCATTTTGGGGCCTAATCAAAACTTACTTTCAGGTTATTCAAGCACTTGTTGCTGGTGTTTCTTGTCCAACAAATGGCAGCTGGTATGTTTAGGGTCATATCAGGAGTTTGTAGGACAATGATTATTGCTAACACTGGTGGAGCCCTCATGCTCCTTCTTGTTTTCTTACTTGGAGGTTTCATCCTTCCTAAACGTAAGTGACTGTTGAAAATTGTCACCAAAATAATATTTGTTCAAAGAAAGTGCTCGTTGCTTAATACTTAATGTTAACAGGTAACATTCCAAATTGGTGGGAGTGGGCCTACTGGGTTTCGCCACTTTCATATGCTTTCAATGCCTTTTCTGTGAATGAAATGTTTGCTCCGAGGTGGAGCAAACCGGCGGTAAGTAGCATTAGAAGATGAAATTGTGATTAAAAGGCTTAACATGAAACTTATTTCTAACTTGGAACTTTCCTTGTTTGCAGTCTTCAGATAATTCAACCACATTGGGTTTAGCTACATTGCATAACTTTGATGTTTTTGCTGAAAAACGATGGTACTGGATTGGTGCAGCAGCTCTTCTGGGTTTCGTTATTCTTTACAATGTTCTCTTCACCCTTGCACTTATGTACCTTAATCGTAAGAGCTTACCAAACTTTCTAGTGAATTACCTTCTTTCACTCGCTGTTTAGTGTTAACAAAGCTTTTGTTGACATTGTCTTGTATTGTCTGATTCACTAGCTATTGGAAAGAAACAAGCAATTATATCTGAAGAAGAAGCAAGCGAAATGGAGGGTGGTGGAGACTCCAGGGAAGAACCCAGACTTGTAAGGCCAGAGCCCAACAGAGAGTTACCCCTTCGATCATTATCTTCTGCTGATGGAAACAACACAAGTAAGTATGAAACTAGACAACTTTTCAACTTCAAATGTGTTAAAAGATATATAAAACCATTAATGTAGCCTCACCCAACAGCCTAAGCTTTCTGGTTGAATTGGTTTTTTACAGAATGATTTAGCTAAAAGTGTACTTTTGTTGATACATTGTGGAGTGTTGTTAATTAAGGTTGTCTTGCACATTAACAATTTCAGGAGAAGTAGCAATGCAGCGAATGAGCAGCAGAGGTATTCCAAGTGGATTAAGAAATGCTGATCCAACGCTTGAGTCAGCCACTGGAGTTGCCCCCAAGAGAGGAATGGTTCTACCTTTTCAACCACTTGCAATGTCTTTTGATAGTGTTAATTACTATGTGGACATGCCCGCTGTAAGAACCCCATTACCTTTTCAATTTAACTTTACACCATAAATAATCAATGGTTACCAATGAAGGCAACTTCAACAATGACAGGAAATGAGAGAACAAGGAGTGACAGATGATAGGCTACAATTGCTTAGGGAAGTAACTGGTGCCTTTAGGCCTGGAGTTCTAACTGCTCTAATGGGAGTTAGTGGAGCTGGAAAGACAACTTTGATGGATGTTTTAGCAGGAAGAAAGACAGGTGGCTACATTGAAGGAGAAGTTAGAATCTCTGGGTTCCCCAAGAATCAAGAAACCTTTGCAAGAATTTCTGGATACTGTGAACAAACTGATATCCATTCACCCCAAGTTACTGTCCGAGAATCTTTGATTTATTCTGCTTTCCTTCGGTTACCTAGAGAAGTCAGCAATGAGGAAAAGATGGTAAGAAATAAGCATTATATCTTTTTTCATTCAGCTCCAGATAAAGATATATAAAATAGTGAAATTTACATTTCAATTGTTTTGATCTTTTCAGAAATTTGTGGACGAAGTGATGGATTTGGTTGAGCTGAATAATCTCAAGGATGCTATAGTTGGGCTTCCAGGTGTTACAGGATTGTCAACCGAACAGAGAAAGAGGCTAACAATAGCTGTTGAGCTCGTTGCTAATCCTTCAATCATTTTCATGGATGAACCCACTTCAGGTCTCGATGCAAGAGCAGCAGCCATTGTTATGAGGACAGTTAGAAACACTGTCGACACTGGAAGAACAGTTGTCTGCACAATTCACCAGCCTAGTATTGATATCTTTGAAGCCTTCGATGAGGTACCAACGAATTTGTTAATCTGTTTATGTCATGTGCTTCTCTTTATCTCCATGGCTCTCTGGAAGTTAAATATTTTTCTTGTGAACCAGCTGCTGTTGATGAAGAGAGGAGGGCAAGTGATATACTTAGGACCATTAGGAAGGAATTCACACAAGATTATAGAATATTTTGAGGTATTATAACAAATTGGTTATAGTATTTTGATAAAGTCCTGTAACAAGGGGTTCAACATCTAATTCAATGTTCACTCCTTGGTCATATAGGCAATAGCAGGTGTCCCAAAAATCAAGGATAAGTACAACCCTGCTACATGGATGTTAGAGGTAAGCTCTATGGCAGCTGAAGTTCGGCTTGGAATGGACTTTGCTGAATACCACAAATCATCATCTTTGCATCAGTAAGTCTACAAAGAGCTAGCTAGTATATCGATGTTGTCAAGTGTGTATGCATTTATTTACTGGTTTGAGCTTACATGCGTGCTTATAAGCAGGCGAAACAAAGCTCTTGTAAGAGAGTTAAGTGTACCTCCTCCTGGAGCAACAGATCTGTATTTCACCTCTCAGTTTTCTCAAAACACTTGGGGACAATTCACATCATGTATATGGAAGCAGTGGCTGACATATTGGAGAAGTCCAGATTATAACCTTGTCAGATATTTCTTCACCTTAGCTGCAGCTCTCATGGTGGGGACAGTATTTTGGAAAGTTGGCAAAAAAAGGTTTGGTGCTGCTTCCTATGATCAAATGAAATTGAAATCTAACCCCATTTTCCAACCATTTAGTTCTGGATTTTAGCTATATTTTTTTTTTCTTTTTCTTGTCATATTTGTACAGGGATAGTTCAAGCGAGCTGAACATGATTATAGGAGCACTTTATGGTTCTGTCTTTTTTGTTGGTGTTAACAACTGCCAAACTGTTCAGCCAGTGGTTGCCATTGAAAGAACAGTATTCTATCGAGAAAGGGCTGCTGGAATGTATTCAGCTTTGCCTTATGCCATTGCACAGGTTAATTAGAAGATGGGTTTACTTTAGAGAACTGTTTTATTTTCTAGTATGTGTTTGCTTATTATGCTGACATTAATTGTTGTTTCATTTGAAGGTTATTGTTGAAATACCATACGTGTTTTTTCAAACTATATATTTCGCGTTCATAGTGTATGCTATGGTGAGCTTTGAATGGAAAGTCGAGAAGGTCTTCTGGTTCTTCTTTATCAGCTTTTTCTCCTTCTTGTACTTCACATATTATGGGATGATGACTGTTTCCATTACACCAAACCATCAAGTGGCATCAATCTTTGGAGCAGCATTCTATGGACTCTTCAATCTCTTCTCTGGTTTCTTTATCCCAAGACCGGTGAGTACTATTCTAGTTTTGTTTATTGTACAAAGCACATCAATGTAAGAATTTATTCGTCATCTTTACTAACATAATTGCTCTTAACAACTTTTGTCATTTCAGAAAATTCCTAAATGGTGGGTTTGGTATTATTGGATATGCCCAGTAGCATGGACAGTGTATGGATTAATCGTCTCACAGTATAGAGATGTAACGACAGGCATTAGTGTGCCTGGGAATGATCAACGTGTTCCTATCAAAGAGTTTATTGAAAAACATTATGGGTACAAACCAGACTTCATGGGGCCAGTTGCTGCTGTTTTGGTCGGTTTCACTGCCTTCTTTGCCTTTATATTTGCCTACTGCATCAAAGCACTGAACTTCCAAACAAGATAAAAAGAAAACAAGAGAGGCTAAATTAGTGGAAAATGAAGTTCTGCATGTTCTACTAGTGAAAGTGCCTTCTGTGTATATAGCCAAGGGCAACAAATTTTATACTTGATGATAGACAACTACGATAATTTTTCTGGCAAGTTTTGAGGATCATTTATTAAATTTAAATCATGTTGGTCATGTAATTTTTATATTGGTTTGCTCTCTAAGATAATTCATATTGGATTTTTCCAGTTTATGGCATAGAACATGAAAAGTACTTTTTGCGGTTTTGCAACTACAGAATGCGTGGATGTTTTATTAGGATCAGGACTAAAAAACTCTTGCACCTTAAATATGTGATAGGTGACTGGTTGGGTTGTAGAAACCATTGAGTCAGAACTATTTTGGATAGGTGCAAAGATTAATTGTCATGTGCATAAGATAAACTTTTCATTAGCATAATTCAGACAAATCATCTTTTTGTTTATATCAAGGATATGGTGGAACTAGAATAACGAATGGACCGTTGAAATTGACATGCTTGTATTAAGCTTGAGCCCCAATGAACTTGGGTTAGCCCATTCGATCTAGCAAGCCCTGGTTGAGCCTGGCTGACTACAAAATTCAATCCAACCCAATATCAGCCCAGCCAACTTATTTGCATGATAATGTTTTATTTGTGGGAGTTATTAATCTCATGTTGCTTGAGATAGTTTTTTCATGTGTCCGAGATGAATTTGTGGGAGTTATTAATCTCATGTTGCTTGAGATAGTTTTTTCATGTGTCCGAGATGAATATGTGGAGTCCACACTTTAAAACAAAAAGAAAAAGAAATGGAAAAAACTGGCACAAAATTCGATGAATGTATAAAATGAGATAATTATCTCCAACGAAATGAGATAAATATTTCCCTTTATTTATAAGGTTTAATATTTCTCCTTTGAGAAAAAAAAATTCAAACTTATATAAAAATAATAAATTAGTGGGATTTATCCACTTTTACGTGTCTTTTTTCCTGGATTATAACAATTACTTAATGTCTTTTTTTCCTCTCTTTTTGTTGTGGGAAAAAAATTCTATACCTATGGAACGCACTTATGAATTTGTGGTGCAGCATGGCTGATGGCCCACCCTTCTCACGTTCATTTTCAGGACGCAGCGACCTGAACGTGGTTTATCTTTGCCCGCAAAACTATGAACTATACATTTTAACGGTTCTCACCTTCAGCATTCCCTTTGTTGGCCAAAATGCTCAAAGGTACTCGTTTTCAAGTCACTTTCTTATGACTTTGAAATGGTTGGTTATTTCATGCTTGCTCTTAGAATATTTGTTATGCTCTAATTGATTATTTATCAAGTTTAATTAAAAGTAGGTTAATTTGTGACTTATATGAGAGAAATTATAGTTATTAAGTGATTTTTATGTTTATGCATATTATGTATTTCTGAATTAATGTGTCAGTAATAATCAGTATGGATATAAATTTATCGATTACAATACAATGATTATGATCACACTGTTATATATTTCAACTTTCTTCTTACAAAAAAAAATAAAATAAAAATATTTCCATCTTTCAATGAGAATTTTAACTATTTCAACTCCCACCTACCAGCCCACTAGCTACCACCAACGCTTTTCCTTTGGTATACTGTTTGGGTAGACTCTTGCTTGACTTTCCGAGAAATAATTTATTTTAAACGACACGTGAAAGGAAATTTCCCTATACATACTTTTGAAGAAATCAGAGAAAGATACCGTATCCATTTTTAAAGAGATAATTTCGGTCGGTGAGTTGAGTATTATGAAAAATAATTATTGCACGTTAAACTTTATTATATTATTTTTAATTCGATTAATAAAGTTTTATTATTATTATTTAATAAGGTGTTAGTAGTATATTATTGATAAATTAAGAATATATTAGTAGTAATTAAATTATTATTAATCTAATAAAAACCGTGTAAAACTTTGAAGGCAAATAACGATACCATTTCTTTCCATTTCGCTATGCCCCTTGGGCCTTGAGAAAGAGAAACCTCCACCAGATGCATCTTTTTAAGCGGTGACTGAATAAAGTAAAATATATAATAAATCCTTTGGTTGATTTGGCCTTACCAATAACGCGTTACTTACAACAATAGGGTTGGTATTCGTGTTGTGTCGTCATGGCTTGACGCATGTGTGGGTTTGGTAGCTTTCAGCTCTGCTTCCTAAATGGCCTGAGGTTTCGGTTGAAAGGAAACACGTCATTAGTATCAACAGATAATGGCAGCGTAGCATCCATTAATGGCCTACAAGTTTGCCAAAAACCTGTCGCCCAATTAATAAAGTAATCTTTAATTAAATTCGAGCCTCAAATGATTTGACTGCTTTAAAGTACATCGTTAAATTTATATAGCTGCATTATTTCTTCTTCCCTACATTATTTTAAGGGTCGCTCACTCCTCTGTGAAACTGTGATTAATTTGTCATCTTTCAAAAGAAAAATTGTCGAAACGTCATACAATTATTAAAAATTTTCAAAGTGTCACGCGTACAAGTTTCTTACATTAAGTACTAAATTTTATTTGCTAATATGATATGTTTTTAGATTTAGTTTGCTACTCATAATAGCGAATTACTTGAAATGTTAGTCTACTCTGAATATTATTAGAATATATGTCAATCTCGTATAAGTTCGCTAGACTAGCTAGTACTGAACTAGGTGAAAGTAATTAAACGTTTTGGATGAAACAAAAATTGAATGAAAAAAAGCTTTGGAAAAGAAAAATAGAGAAAGTGCAATTAAATGTGAATTTGTATAAATGTAATGTGATCAACACACATAGTTCACTAGGGTGCATAGCGAATTAGGTGTTCTGATACCAATATTTCACATAGTTTGCTATTATCAGTAGTGAATTAGGTCAAAAAACATGTCACATAAGCAAACAAAGTTCGTTACTTATTGTAGCAAATTTGTACACGTGGAACTTTTAAAAATTTTACTGTTTGCGTGATATTTCGACAATTTTTATTTTGAAAAATGGCAAATTGGTCACCGTTTTCTTCTCTGTTGCTGTAGGAAAAAATTCTTGTAGCAATTCATTATGGCTATGTATTAAAATAATATATAATTATAATGAATTCTTATAAAAAATTTCCTCATGCACCACCGTGAGAAATTAATTTGCTTTATTTTATGGAAAAAAATAATTTTATGCAACATAAAAATAGTTTTATCTCTAATAAATATATCGAAAATCGTGACACTTTTTTTCTTTTCTTTTTTGTAAATGATAGACCCTACCACATGTGTATCTATAACATGAGATATCTTCTCTCATGTAATATGAAATTAAAATTAGATTAACTCTTATTTTATATGTGATGACCACTATGTGTTACTGTATTGTGATCATCAAATATGGTGAGTTTCACGTTAGTTTTATATACCTCAGATCATGGCAGCAATACTTGTCATCAGCATTGAGTATCCCCAAAAGAATAAAAAATCTTGAATCTCTTCTTTTCAAGTTCTCTCAAGTCTCAACCAATATTAACGAAAGATTGGGAAATAATTTTTTTAACAGTTTATAAAACATTTCTTTTTTTCCTCAGTTAAGTACAACATCGAATAAATTATTACTGAAAATTATATTCTTTTATTTTAGTATGAAATCATATGACTTTGAGTTCTTGCACGTTGAACAAATGATATGTGGGAATATTGCTGGGAATGTTTTAGAGGAGTTGTGGTTATTATTGTTGCTGTTGTTGATGCTAGCTAGCAGCTATTATCATTTACACAAATATTTTTTATTCCACGCCAATATTTATTTATATTATTGAGATATTTCACATTGATAAGTATTTAATCATTATTTGTCTTGATTCAGAAAATAGTTGCTTTCACTATAAATTTTAAATCCTCCCTAATTAATCCTCCTCATATTTTTTCTAATTATTATATGAATAATCAATAAAATATTGAATTATCTGTATGTCTCTAAAATATTAAATATGTTTACTTTTTCATCAAATATTTTCTTTATTAAGTATTAGGACAGTTATTATGAAAAAAAATTAAGATAATATGGCAAAACTTAAATTTCAAAGCAATTATATGAAATGACTAGAGAATTTGATTAAAGTTGAATTGTATTACATATCATTAATGCACGTATATATAAAATAATGAAGTTCTATTTAATGGACCACTTTGATGAATAAAGGACAGAAGTTAATCGTTCAATTGCATCGCCCAGTGCAATTTTAGGATTGTACTCTTTAAACAAGGTGACCTACTTTCAACCACCATTGTTATCACCCACATGGTCTTCGCCAATTGCCCACCTACCCAATGCAACTCCTTTGTACCACAAGCTCCCCTCTATATCTCAGCCACTGAGCTTGCTTCCATTTGGAGGTTTCTGTTCTCTAACTTTGTTTTCCAATTGATGGTAAAAATAATAATAATAATAAAGTATGCCGTTAATGATAATCAAATTAATGCTACGTTTTTTAAAAGTTTAAAAAATATAATTGAATGAAATTGGAAACATTCCGTTTTAATTAATTAAGGGTAAGTGATGGAAGGAGATGAAATAGTTTATGAAATTATAATTTTATCATTCATCTTACTGTTTAGTGTCTTTGAAATAAGGGTAATATAAAAATAACAAATTTAAATTCGTTTAATCCCATATTTTCATTCATTTCTACTAACAAAAAAGAAAATAAAAGAATTCTTCTATCCCATTATTAAACATCTAAACAAGTATAAAATAATTTATTCTATTTCATTCATTTTGTATTTTATTCTACCATACCATTTTACTTTAACTTATCATATGATCTGAACTATCCATATTGAAAATAACGGATTATTTAACTTTGCCATTCAGGGGGTTTCACAGCGTCGTCTCATAGTATAAGCAACCATCGCATAAACTAAGGTTTTATAATTCTCATGAATGAGAATTGAAATTTTATGTTGTAGAGATAAAAAGTATGTAAGACCCTTGTGTTAGAAAAAGTTATATATAAAACTCATGTCAACACGAAAATCAAAAAATATGTAGAAAAATTATAATTCTCATATTAAATGAGAATTATAAAACCCATAAAATAAAGTACCAATTTCTTTTGAAAATAATTATTTGCCGTAAAAGCGGATATGCGGTTTGACATAATTTACCTCTCTTTGAGAAGTACCATTCTAGGTCGTTTCCTCCATATATATATTTTTTTTAATAACGTGGGGTGTTCTGA